GGATTTCTACCACAAATATGGTGGCTATTATATAGAATGTCATGATTTAATAAGTGATGCACAGGAGAAGAGGGAGAGGACGAAGATAGTAGGCTAAAATTTCAGTTGCTTACAGCCTACCATTTCTGTAGGCTTCAATAACTGTGAATGATCAGTAACTGTCAAAAGTTCATTACTTCAAATCAGATCCAGTAGCATAGCAGTAGAGGAGGGGAAGGGAGGGAAGGGGGGGCAGGGAATACCACTGGCACCAGCCTGGGGAGGCGGGCGCTGGCCGGGACGGCCCTCCAGGGGTACTCGGTCCTCAAGCGGCACTTCCAGTTTTGCTGCTGGCGTTTCCAGTCTCGGCAACTGGCTGCCAGTGGACCCTTTCCCCAGCCGCTGCTCGGTGATCAGCTGCAGACAGGGGCGCGTAAATGGCAGCATTGGCCCCCGGGCACTGGAGACCCACACTACACCACTGATCAGATCCTTAACCAAAAGACCAACCCTATGGAAAGCTGCTTTCCCTCATTTCTGTCCTGGCTTGTGGAATCCCAAAACAATTCCAACACCACTTTAAACACACACAAACACTTTGTAACCTTTGTACCCTCTATCATAACTCTCAGCCTTTGCTCTGCTCTCACAGGTCTCAATCTCCACTCATCTGCCCTTCATGCTCCCTCTCTCTCCTACTGTCATATCGTCTTTCTCCATTATCATTTTGACCTGGCTGCCTCCCTGCTGGCTTCAGCCAGTCCCCTATATATCTTCTCGGCTGATTCCATACAATGCCAGTTGCCTTTTAAGGAGAGAATACAGTACTCTGGGGATTCTCATCAGAAACCTGCTGCAGTTTCAGACTCTAGGCACCCAAAGGCCCAAGAATACAAGCATCCAAAGTCTCCATAAGGAAGAAATGTGTTTCTCTATCTGACTGCTAAGCAAGCACACTACCTCCACCATATCTCCTGTCACCAACCCAAGAGAAAGAAACCCAAGCTCTGAGCCTTCTGCAGAACTGCAACATGTGGTGAACAGTAGGGCTGCGTGAAATTTCAGCGGGTGTTTCATTTCATTCCATTTGATTCCCCAGCTCTCCCTGTTTGATTTCCCAGCCCCTGATCTGCACGTGGGGTTTCAACAGGCTGCTGAAACCCAGCACAAGAGATCTAAGGACCTGCACCCCCCGGGAAGAACTGGGGAAATTATCAGAGAGCTGGGAAAAGTGATCAGAGAGCTGGGGAATCAAACGGGGGGCTGGGGAATTCAACTGGGAGCAGGGGAATCAAACTGGGAGTTGGGGGAACGTTGAGGTCCCTGAACATCCCCCCAGTTCCCGGTTGCATTCCCCAGCTCCCCGATCTTTCCCCCAGCTCTCTGATCACTTCCCCCAGCTCCGCCCAGGGGGTGTGGGCCCTTTGATGATGTGGGATCGCAGCAGGCTGCCGCTGCCAGCTGGGACCCATGCTGGGCAAGCGCCGGGAAGCCTGGTGCTGCCGCTGGCCCCAGCTGGCAGCAGCAGCATGCTGTCATCCCATGCACAGATCCAGGGGCCCGCATCTCCTGGGAGGAGTCTGGCACAGCCCCGCAGCCTTCCTGGGGGGCATGGCCCTTAGATCTGCGCGTGGGATGACAGCAGGTTACTGCTGCTAGCAAGTGATACAAGTTTTGCTTTGAATAGTTTGAGGTGCAGTTTCATCCAAATCAGGCACGGAATGACAAAGTTATGGGCATTTTCATGATTCCCCATTATACCCTATGGGCAAAACGCCAAAATGCGCTGAAACAGTGAAACAGTTTCAACGAAACGAAACGGAACAGTGCTTCAAGACGAAACGAAATACTCTCCCTTTGAAATGGTGAAACGTAAGTCAAAACAAAATGGTGCTGTTTCGCACAGCCTCAGTGAACAGCCCACTGAGTCAGCCTGCTCGTAACAATTTATTATCAGGATTAAATTATTGAAAAATAAAGATGTCTCAACTACTGAAAAGCAATATTTTAGTCATAGAGCCCCAGATGTTACTAAATCCCACATTGTCCAGGACAGTTTAGTGCAAAACAGTCCTTCTCAATAACCTTATAAAGAAAATACCAAATGCTGATGAAATCCTGGTACTTGTAAGTTTTTTTGATGTTGAGTACAAAACACAAGTCTCTCATCCCTTTCAGTCTGGAGAGCACCATACTGATGGTGTACAACAGCTCTGACACATTTAAATATCTATACGTCTTTACATTGTTGGAATCCACACACTGAATGTGGCTGAAATGCAGTTTGAAATCGAAAGCCACATATAAAATTTGATTAAGTCCCAATGTACTTAGCAAAGTTAACTAAATTTGTTTTTACTTTTACTTGAACAAAAAATAAATAAAAATCAGTCAACACAAATTATATTCTACTAATGCAACTTTTTGGGCTCAGAATCATTAAACCCAAAACTAAGGGCAAAATTCTAGATAACCAAAATCAGGATTAAAACTAATTCAGATTGTTGCATAGGAGTGATTCTCATACCTGCCTTTGGGCATATAAGAGCCCTGTTATAGGAATAGAGACACATCTCTGGAGGGCAATGCTATTGCGATCACCGAGGCATTTACACATCCAGAGGGGATAACAGAATCACTCCAACACAACAGTTGAGTAACTCCAAGTTAATCTCAATCTGCACTTCAGTTGTCCATGTGGTAAAAAAAAATCTGCTTTAAAGGCGTATCCTGGATCCAGACCTGAAATACGTAGTTAAAATAAAGTGCCATCTCATCACTACCCTGCTACAAACTATTAGTCCTAAATAGACAGGTGTGATCCATAACAAGAAATAGGGCACATTTTACAACAGCCTAAGAAGATGACTTAATATATTTTTCTACCTCTAATATGTATGATTATAGAATTATTTTGTCACAACCCAGTTAATCAGTGCCCATGCCACTAGCAAGAGATACCATTCAAGTAGTCAACTAAGGGTTAAAAAAAAAAAAATCCTTGATAGAAACTCCTGAAACAAAATCCTGGCAGAGAGCTGTCTATAATTTATGCCCGTGTCACAAACAAGAAACGAAACTTAAGACTGGTCAGGGTGAAAGGGGATAGCCCTGCCATAAATCCCTGCAATTGGTCAAGAAACAAGTGTAAACCCCTCATCATAACCTCATACGTAACAGGCAGAAAACCTAACCCACTACCTTGTAACCTGATAGCAACCTGAGAGCACAAAGAACTGCTGCTTGCCAGAAAATTAAAGATTCCACATAACGGTTCATCATTGGGTATCTCCGTCAGACACCTCTGTCTATAAATAGTTTAGCAACTTCCGCCAAGTCGGAGAACCCCGGAGAAACCTCTGAGGAGAGACCTGAGTCCATCACCAGAGTAGATTGACAGTCTGATCAGCTGTCAATACTCCCCGACATCGTAAATCTTGACGTATCAAAGCCCTGCAGGCACGATAGCACGTTTTCGGCGCCACGTCCGTCATTGCTTGGCTGTAACCCATACATTTGACTGTAATCGATGCAACTGTAACAGAACAAAGGCTCAGCCTGCGTCGCACGTCACTATCTGGGTGACGTAAGGGGGGGGGGGGGGGGGGGGGGAATGGGGGGGGTGTCAGAAAGTAGCTGCCGGTGCTGCTCTGATCTCCGACATATTTAAATACAGGTTTTCTTAGGCAAATTACTGCTCTGACTATACTTGTAGACCATAATATTTGCAAGGAAGCGCTATACATATTATTCAAAATTCTTTCCTCTTTTCCAGCAAAACAGCATACAGAATGTCACAAAGCCGATGTTCTTACTTCACTCCTAGCGAAGTAAGAAAGCAAGATCATTTTTCTAACAGATTATTACACCATGGGATTTCTTACAACTACTATTAACTTAGGGTAGACTGACTGAAAAACATTCATACATACCATTAAAACTGCAGATTTGCATCAAAGTTTTTTCATACAGGAAAAATTCATAATTAAGTTTTACCTTCAAAGAACTCCCAGACAGATATGATTTGTCTAGTGTCAGAATGAATTAGCAATAGAGCAATGATTAGATCTCATGCTTTTCTGGCTGCCAATTTCATAGGATCATAGGAAAGCAAGGCCTGAAGACACTCATGAGGTCATCTAGTCCAGCCCCTTGCTCAAATCAGGATCATGCCTGATTAAATCATCCAAGCATCTGTCTAACCTGCTCCTGAAAATTTCCAAATTCTACAATTTCAATAGTAGCCTGTTTCAATGTTTGACTATTCTCATAGTCATAGTCCTAATCTCCAACATAATTTTTTTTCTGATGGAGTCTGAGACCATTGCTCCAAGTCCTGTCCCCTACAACTACAGTAATAATCTGTAGTTATCGCCACCCTTTTTATAACCACCCTTCAGGCTTTTGACAGCAGTTATCAAATCCCTCCTCGGTCTTCTCTTCTCCAGACTAAACAGTCCTAGTTTTTTCTGCCTCTCTCAGAAGTCATGGTTCCCGGGTCTCTAATCGTTCTTCTTGCTTTCCACTGAACTCTTTCCAATCTGTCCATTTCCCTTCAAGTATGGGGCCCAAAACTGGACAGAGTACTCCAGTGCTAAATACAGCAGAAGAATCACTTCCCTTGATTTGCAAGAGATGCTCCTGTAAATACAATCCAGTATGCTGTTGGCTTTTTGGCAACAACAGCACACTGTTGGAACATATTCAGCTTATGGTCTGCTGTAATCCCCATGTCTTTCTCTGAAGTACTGCAACCTACCCTATCATTCCCCAGTCTGTATTTGTACAAGCAATTATCCAACCCAAGTGCAGAATTTAGCATTTGTCCTTGTTGAATTCATCTGGTAGATTCCAAACTGTTTCTTCAGTCTATCCAAGTCATTCTGGATCCTAGCCCTACCCTACAAAGCATCTGAAACTTCACTCAGCTTGGTATAGCCACAAATTTGTTAAAAATGTACTGAATCCCATTGTCCAAATCATTAATGAAGATTTTAAACAATACCAGAGCCAGGACAGACCTCTGGGCAACTCCATTTGATACCTCCTCCCAACTCGCCATTGAGCCATTGATGACTATTCATTGAATACGATGCTCTTTGTGGGGCAGGATCTACCTCGGTCTCCCTCTGAACTCGCCTGCCACGACTTGGATTGAAAGAAAAACAATGTTCAGTGTTATTCTTAGGGGTGAGGAAGCACCACAGACCACCCAGGTGATTAACTCACACAGTGCATTTATTCCTAGCAGTAGGATACAAAGGTGTGTTCACCTTGCTAATTACCTCATTAGTGAGGGAAACCAATATAACTGAGGAGGGAACTCTGGAAGCCTGGGAGGGCCCTGGATGCCTCAGGCTATTTCTGTATGGGGCTGGGTCCTCTCCACTAATTAACTCATTAGCTGGGTGCGTTCTCCATGCCTCCGCGGGTCTCGAGCCAGGAGCTGCCTCCATCACTCCCTCCCTACCTAATAGCAGACCCGACTCTGTTCCTAGCCATGCCAGTGGGGCGGATGGCTCTGCGCCATTTCTGCTGCCCGCACGCTGCCCTGGAACACTCTTCCTCAGAGTTCCCCTGGTATGGCGATCTCCCAGAACCCCAGTTCTTCCTGGACTCACCAGACTGGCTGCAAGTCTCAGGTGAATACCTTACCTTCTTACCAGCCAGGCCAGGTCTTCCTAGGGTTTGCAGTCCTGGAACTCCCTTGGGCTGTGAATCAGGCATCTTGCTCCCTCTCTCTTCTCTTCTTCCTCTGCAGTCCTCTCTCTCTGTCCTCCAGTGCCCGAAGGCAAAGTGTGCTCGCCAGCCGCTGGGTTTATACTGGCTGCAGCGGGATAATTACCCAAACCTTCCCCTGACATGTCCTTCTCCTCACCTGTGCCAAGTGCTCTCTATAGTTACCCACACCCGTGGCTGACCTAGTAACGGGGCTCTTGCCTGAGTCCCTGTTACACTCTTACATATCCACCTTACAGTACATTCATCTAGTCTGTATTTCCTTGGCTTATTAATGAGTATGTCATGGGAGACTGTCAAAAGCCTTGTTGAAGTCAAGATATATAACATCCGCTGCTCTCCTCCTATCCACAAAGACTGTTACCTTGTGAAGTTGATCAGGCATGACTTGTACTTTGTGAATCCCTGCTGGCTGTTCCTGATCACTTTGTTCTCTTCCTAGTACTTCCTTGTGAATCTGCTCCATGATCTTTCCAAGTATTGAGGTTAAGCTGACTGGTCTGTAATTCCCCTGATCTTCCTTCTTCCCTTTCTTTAAGATGGGTACTATATATATTTGCTCTTTTCAATCATCTGGGACCTCACTCAGCCTCCGCAAGTTCTCCAAGTGGATAGCCAATGGCTCTGAAATTACCTCAGCCAAGTCCTTCAGTATCATAGAGTGTATTCCACCCAGTCTTACTGATTTGAAAACATCTAGCTTCTCTAAGTAATCCCTAACATGTTGTTCCACTACTCTAAGCTCTTTGTATCCTGCCTTATGTTTGTTGCTAATTGCTCTCATCATTTAGTAGCTGGCTTTATTTATGAAGACAGAAGGAAAAAAGGTATTTGATGCTTCTGGCTTCTCTGCACTGTTTGTAACTAGGTTGCGTTCTGTGTTCAGTTAGGGACCTGTACGGTCTTTGGTTGTTCTCTTACTTCTGATATATTCATAGAATCCCTTTTCTATGGCTTTTGTATTTCTTGCCATTTGCAACTGAAACCATGCCTTGGCCTTCCTGATTTTCTCCATGCATCCCTTGGCAGTACTCTTATACTCTTCTCTAGTAATATGACCAAATTTCCATTTTTGTAGGATTCCTTTGAATTTCAGCTCATTGAAGAGATAGCTGTTTAACCAAACCAGTCTCCTGTTGCACTTTCTACTCTTCCATCGTATCTGGATAACTTGCTCCTGCACCCTTAATACAGCCTCCTTAATGTACAGCCAGCTCTCCTTGATTCCTTTTCACCTCAGACTTGCGTCCCAGGGGATCCTGCCCGCCAGTTCCCTGAATTTGTCAGTCTGCTTTCCTGAAGTCCAGTGTCTTTATTCTGCTACTCTCCTTCCTTCCTTCCCTGAGGACATCAAACTATTGTCATTTCATGGTCACTGTCACCTAAGTTACCTTCCATAATCTCAACCAATTCCTCCCTGCTTGTGAGCAGCAAGTCAAAACAAACTTTCCATTTTAGCTGACCTCTACACCACTTGTAGTAAAGTTATCCCCACCACATTCCAAGAATTTGCTAGCTTACCTGTGCACTGCTGTCTCCAATGTTCTTCTAAAGGTAGCTCAAAACACATCACAACATATAATTAAAGCAGTTGTTTTTCATCAATTTCAAGCCTCAAAATTGGGCTGTTCGATTTACCTTTAAGTCTTCCAAACGTCAATTCCACTGTCATTCTGCCACTTGCTTAGTTCCTTTCTCCTATTTAAGTGTCCAGTGAAAGGCTGCACAAGCCAAATAAATAGAGGGTAACTTAAGTCTCACATAAATGACTGATGCCTGAACCATTTCTGGATCATTTCCTACATTCATAGTTGTGAATCTTCCCCAATAGTCAACCAGACATGGCAGCCTGTAGATATATATCCTCTTCTGCTAACAAATTCCATGGCATAGTATAGATGACAAACAATGAACTCCTGGGTCCCATTAATTAATAGCCCCAGCACAGTACAGAGATGGCAATTGTGAAAACCCATTAATAACCTTCTGTGCATTGGCCAACCTTTTCACCTGGGAGTATACCATCTTCTTGGCGGCACATGCTTCCATTACAACCCCAATCTAAAACCAAATCAGTTACGTAATGACTAGTGAACGTAGCAAGCTTCCAAATGGCAACATCTCTGAGCTTCTCCATGCTAGGGATAGCTTTCATGTAGGTGTCCCAGCATTGCTGTTCTAGGGCCAGATATGCACAGATTTCTATAAATGTCATTTCTGGTATCCTGGAGCTCTGCCACATCTGACAGTCACCCCAGATATATAGCACTACCCTGTCCCAGAAGATTCATTTAAATCAAATGAAGCCACTCCAAAAAAAAGTTAGGAAAAGCATCTGCTCAATTTCACCCTTTTCCTCAGCTGCATGTGCCCTTGCTGCCCTGGTTCTGAAGTCTCTGCACATATTCAGATATGCTTGAGGTAGCCTGTTTATATCCAGCACCCTAAAGACTGTATTGCTTGCCAATGTTTCCTTCATGCTACATGAGCTTTGAAAATGGCAATGCTGCATGCCAAATGAATTATAGAGTAGAAAATTTTTAGACAGAACCAGAATTCTATTGATTTCCAGAATGTATCCCACAAGGCACAGTGTGAAAAACCTCATAATATATATATACAGCACAGTGGCAGCATGATGCACCATGGGATGCCTAGCCAGAATGCTGGGCACTTATTTTGAAACATCCCTACACTGTATGGCCCCAATGATAACAAGCTAAAGCACCTTTATTGTGGGATAACAATGCAGTATCCTTAGAGTACTTGCACAACAGCTATTGCAGATCCCTTAATCCAAATACACAAAACCCACAACTGTTCCAAGTGTAGAAATGTCCTTAGTAAACTTATTTCAATTTGCCACAAATATACAATTGACAGCCATATTTTGTAGCATTATTGTATCAAAGAATTTAATATCAACAGTATAATACTTGAAATGCCACATCTTCAGCTGCTGTAAATTGGTAGAGTAAGCAGCACAACTACATCCATTTGCACTGACAGAGGACCCAGTGATTGAGTACAAAAACCTGCTGTTGATTTCAGAAGTAAATTTGGGAATAAAAGGAATACCCAACTGCAGATGATGTAGAATAACAACAAGAAGCAAGACAATGTTAATCAGTATTTCTGGACTGTTTTAGTTAGCACTGTGTGGGTGGAACAGATGGCTGAAGAGGGCAAGTCTGACAGCTGTAAATTTACTTTGCAAATGAAAATACAGTTATCCCCCTAGTCCTGGCTGTGGATTAGGAGAAATCTGCTCTTGATCATTAGCCTGTATTCACTTTTCTGCTGAAAGTGTGTAGCGCAAAGCTTTTTCAGAAAGTATTCTGCATAGCTCCCTATTTTTCCCTTATGGCAAGAGAGCCAGAAGTATAAGTGGGAGAAACAAATCAGCAGGCATAATTGGTCTTTTTTGCAAAAGACAGTGCAAGATTAAAATTTAAATTCTGTCTGGGATCAAATGTGAGTTAATCAATATGAAAGCTGCCTTTCTAACAAAGGGAGCCACCTTACATTATCTATTAGTGTAGGTAGTATTGTTAAAGAGATTGCTAGGTATCAGTCATAATGTAAGTTATTATCCAAATGTAATTGTACTTTTGCTGGATCATGAACTGGAAAAACCTCTAAGAATCTTCTTCTTAAAAAAGGCAAACAATGCTGTAGTAGTTTTGGAATAAAGTCAAGACACATAATTTGTTCTTAACTTTTTTTGCAGAACAATAATAGCAGAAAATGTGTCAGTTCATCTTTTTCAATACAAAAAGGACTGATCTATAAATAATGGGATTGGATGTGGAATGATGTTGATGGTGCCCTTTCAGTTCCTAGTTTTGACTTAGTAACTAAACATTTTCCTCAGAAACTATGATAAGCAAAATGTATCTATACAAGAGGCAAGGAATTTTGTGGGTGATATCTTTTATTGGACCAACTGCATGGTTGGGAGAAGAATGCACTGTATTCATAAGCTTGTATAAATCTATCCCAAAATGCAGTTGGTCCAATAAAAGATATCACCCAAAAACATTTTTGTTTCTCACACTTCCTGGACCATCATAGCTACTACATCACTTCAACCCTACCACAAAAATTATCTATAATACTTTGGACTTGTCCTTTTATAAATTCTTCAAGCAAAGGCTTGAAGCACTGTGCTATGATTAAGAAAAGGGATAGTAAGCAGCCTTTTTCAAGAACCTTTTCAATACTGTCTCTATTGACTTACTTTCTGAAAAAGTCTATTACTTGACATTGTATCCAATGTTTAAATTACTGATGAATCTAATCTTT